TCCCTCCCTCCCTCTCTCTCTCTCTCTCTCTCTCTCTCTCTCTCTCTCTCTCTCAAAAGCTACCTAGGACAAACCTAATGCTCAAAGCGAGAAACAATCAGCAACTCAGCAGGTAAAGGAAATAAGTTTGTTTGATCAAAGCAATTAGTTTTTTGAGCTTGGGGGAGATTTTCTTAAAGAAAAAAACCAAGATTAACAGTGTGAGAGTTGTTTTCCTTCCCATTTGAGAGACACAAAAAAATAACAGTGCTTTGCATGATGAGACACAAGCGAGTGAATTGCAATAATTCGATAACCGCTCTTGCCCTTCACCTGCAACTTGCGTACTCTGAACAGGAACTGAAATTCAGAGGGTCATACTGTCTGATTTCCAGCCTTGAGTTCTGGTCTTGTTGGTTGAAAGTATTTTTACCCTGTTCCAAAGCCTCCTTAAACAGCTTTTGCAATATCAACAGAATACAGTCCCCAGCTGCATAAGGAAAAAGGAGTGAAGATTGGGGAAAGGGAAGTCCAGCAACGGTACTAACCAGGGCGGCTCAGGACTTCATGGCCTCCATGGCGGCCATGGGGCTGTCTCAACATGTCAGTGGCCCGACCCATGAACGTGGACACACTCTGGACCGGGTTTTCTCAACGGGGCAGGAAGAGGGTGATCTGAGGGTGAGGAATTTAAGTTTGACGCCCTTGTCATGGTCAGATCACTTCCTCATAAGGTTTGAGCTCGAGAGCGGCCTTTCCCTCTGCAAGGGTGCGGACCCGATTGTATTGGTCTGCCCCTGGAGCCGGATGGATCCTGATGGATTCCTGGAAGCTCTGGGGGATTTTCCAGTTGACAAGGCTGGTGATCCTGTCGATGCCCAGGCTGAACTGTGGAATGCGGAGATGACCAGGGTTATTGACACAATCACTCCCAAGCGTCCTCTCCCACCTGGCAGAGCCCGTTCATCTCCTTGGTACACACCTGAATTACGGGCGATGAAGCAGGTTGGGAGACATCTAGAGCATAGGTGGAGAAGATCACGGGGTGATTCTGACCGAACACACTTAAGAGCCCATTATTGGGCCTATGCTGTGGCGGTGAGGATGGCGAAGAAGAAATTCTTCTCCGTTTCCATTGCCTCCTCACAATGCCGTCCGGCGGAGCTTTTTCGGGTGGTACAGGGGCTGATACATCCAGGCCTGAAGAAAGATCTTGTGCCACCCTCGAAGGCCCGCTGTGACGACTTTGCCAAGCATTTCAGGGAGAAAATCACTCAGATTCACCACGAGCTTGACTCTGCTATTGAATCAGTCCGGCCAGTCCTAAAGAAGGCATCCCTGGATCCAGAGGTGGCTGCCAATTATAGACCGGTGGCCAACATCCTGTTCCTGGGCAAGGTGCTAGAGTGGGTGGTGGTGGGACAACTCCAAGCACTCTTGGATGAAACTGATTATCTGGACCCATTTCAGTCCGGCTTCAGACGTGGGTATGGCACTGAATCTGCCTTGGTTGCCCTGTATGATGACCTGTGCAGGAAGAGGGACAGGGGGAGTGCGTCCCTGTTGGTTCTCCTGAACCTCTCAGCGGCTTTTGATACCATCGACCATGGTATCCTTCTGGATAGGCTAGCGGGATTGGGAGTTGGAGGCACCGGGTGGCGGTGGTTCTGCCCCATCTCAATGGCCGATTTCAGAAGGTGGTGCTGGGGGACTATGGCTCTGCGCCATGGCAGTTATGCCATGGAGTTCTGCAGGGGTCCATTTTGTCCCCTTTGCTATTTAACATCTACATGAAACCACTGGGGGAGGCCATCAGGAGGTGTGGGATGCGGAATCATCAGTACGCTGATGATACCCAGCTCTACCTCTCGTTTTCCACCAATCCAGGTGAGGCAGTGGCTGTGCTGAACCCGTGCTTGGCCGAGGTAATGGGCTGGATGAGGGCCAATAAACTGAAGCTCAATCCAGACAAGACGGAGGTCCTGTTGGTGGGTGGCTCAGGCCTCGGGATGGGGGACGGGCCTTGTCCTAAATGGGGTTGCACTCCCTCTGAGGGACAGGGTTCGCAGCTTAGGAGTGCTCCTCGACCCTGAGCTGTCTCTAGAAGCTCAGGTGACGGTGGTGGCGAGGAGCGCCTTCCTTCAGCTTCGGCTGATACATCAGCTGCGTCCCTTCCTGGAGAACGACTGCCTGGCAACAGTGACACACGCGCTGGTAACTTCCCAATTAGACTTCTGTAACGTGCTCTACGTGGGGCTACCCTTGAAGACGGTCTGGATACTTCAATTGGTGCAGAATAGTGCTGCCAGGCTGCTGACGGGGACTGGGTGTTGTTCTCATATAACCCCAGTTCTCCGTCAGCTCCACTGGCTCCCGATTGAAGTCCGGGCCCAATTCAAGGTGTTGGTTATGACCTATAAAGCCCTAAATGGCTTGGGACCTGGGTATCTAAAGGAACGCTTGCGCCCATATATGCCCTCCCACCCCTTGAGATCAGCAATGGATGCCCTTCTCTGAGAACCCTCTGAGAATGATATTAGGAGGGTGAATACCCGGAGGAGGGCTTTCTCTGCGGTGGCACCCCATCTATGGAATGCAGTCCCCAGAGAGGTCTGTCTGGCGCCGTCGTTATTTGTTTTTTGGCGCCAGGCTAAGACCTTTTTATTTAAAACTTATTTTAATTGTTAAATTGTTGAATTAATTAGGATTTTAATATTTTTAGCTAAGAATGCACTGGGGGTTTTTAAACGATTTTTTAAAATTGTTATATTATTATTTATGTATGTATTTATGTATTCTTTGTGAATACATAATAGGCTTTGTTGCGATGGGGGCGGCATGGAAATGTTTTAAATAAATAAGGCAGCTGCAGACAGGCAGATGTATTCAAAACATTTACAGTCTGATAACAGAAATAAAAGTGTGACTGGTCAATTGGGGAAGGCTTGTTTAAATGAAAGAGGCTCCCATAGCCACTGAAAAGGGAACTTCAGTGTCTAGCTGACATCAACAGGCGGGGAGTTCCACAGAGAGGAAGCTCATACTGCTTCGGCTTTGAGGCAATATAGAAATTAATTAATTAATTAATCAAGGCAGTAAAGCCTGTATCCCAAGCTTGCTCCTGCTGGACCACAGGTCCATGGGAAACTACTGAGACAGCTTCGCATGGAGACCTGGGCGGGCTGGTACGGGAAAAGCTGCTCGTGCGAAAAGCCATGCTGGAGCAGAGCGGGGGCCCAACCTGTCCATGAGGCAAGCAGCTCATGGGATTCATGTTCCCCTGTAACTGGTGTTTCTGATACAAGAAGTAGCTCAGAACCATCTGGATTCGCCGTCATGGATAGCCTTCTCCGGGAATTTATCCAGTCCCCTTCCACAGCTGTCCCAGCGGGTGGCTATGGAAGTGAGTTCCATAGTTTAACTAGGCACTGTGATCCCAGATCATTTAGGGCTTTATGCACAAATAACAGGCATTTAAACCTGCCCCAGTAGCAAATAGGCAGCCAGTGTAATTCCCCCAGAAAGGGGGGCAACTTATTATTATTATTATTATTATTATTATTATTATTATTATTATTATTATTATTACTATTATTCCTGATAACAGCCAAGCCTTGTGGGCAAACCCAGACAGTGGGGTTCAGATTCCGGCACAACTGAGGGGATTTTAACCTGATGTTCAGCAGCCATCAGCGATACTAGTTATGATTTTCCAAACCAGTTTACACTGGAAGGGAATGTGCTTGCTGTGTATGACCATTTTAGTCAGGAATCTGGCACACTTGGCCATCCTAAGGACCTTTGCTTTCTTTCAGAAGCAAGCTCCTAGGCCTCATGTTTTCAACAAGGTGTGTCCATTCTGGATCCGATTTGCTTTGGGGCAGAAAACTGCTGTCCAAAGCCTCTTGTTTCCTGAATCTGTGCGTTCCGCTACTGCTTCCTTCCGTCCATCCACCAGCCTAGCCTGGCCTAATCTAAGGCACTTCAGCAGCCTCGATCACCAGACCCAAATGTCTAAAATGCTGCGAACCGTAGTCCCAACTTCTGGAGATCACCAGGTTAGGGAAAGCTGCAATACAGAGTCTTCACATCTCCTTTTTTTGACTGTGTCTGTTTACATTAAAAATTATTTAATTTAAACAACAAAATACATGCAGTTAATTGATGGGGAGCATCAATCCCTTGAGCCTTTTTTCGCCTGTAGTCTGAAGTGCTACATCACATGTTTATCTAAGGGAGCATAGTTTTCCAGTAATAACTGCAAAGACAGAGATTGAGCAAGATCTGATCTCATGCCATGGGATTATCTTGTTACAAGCAATAACTGGGATATTTTGATTTTAAATATATTTTTGTTTCATTACCTTTTTTACTGTGAGTGTGGCTGTGTCTGTATATTGTGATGGAGAGTGCTCATTATGAATGTCCAGGTAAGATTAATGCACTTATTTGGGTGTATTTTCAAATGCATCTTTTCCATCTGTTGGTTTTTTTTTGGGTGGGGGGAGTGGATTGGCTGTTTGTACAGTTGCCTGCTGTGACATTTGAAGACCGTTTTCCTTGTTCAGAACTGTTCATCCCACCCCAATTTGTGCATAGCTCGGATATTATATAACACTGCATCTTTCTTCTCTTCACAAAGGTGGCCCTGAACCATACATTGAAATATGCGAGCAGCCCAGGCAGCGGGGAATGCGCTTCCGGTATAAATGCGAAGGCAGGTCAGCTGGCAGCATCCCAGGAGAACGTAGCACTGATATCAACCGGACTTTTCCATCAATACAGGTATTCCTGCCCACTGATGCAGCTGTTTGCTTTTCCCCTTCTTTTAAACAGGGAATTTGGCTTTAAAGTCTATTAAGGCTGTAGTTCTGTACTGACAAACCAGGGAGTAAGAAAGATCCCTTGAATTCAGTGGGACTTAAGCTGAGAATATTGCTTTGGGGCAGGGATGCCCACTTTGAATTTTGCTCTCAGGGCCACATTCCAGTGAAGTGTGGGTTCAGAGGATCAAAATTAGTTAGTTATTAAAAGCTTTTATATCCCGTCCTTCACTTAAAATCTCAGGACAGTAATACAGTAAAAGCACAGCATCAAACATCAATTAACACCAGTAAAACCCATCTATAAAACAACACCAGAACTTAAAATATTGGGAAAATTAAAAGGTTTTGGCCTGACACCGAAATGAGTAAAGTGTCAGCGCCAGGTGCACCTCTCAAGGAAACATGTTTCATAACCGGGGTGCCACCACCGAGAAGGCCCTCTCCTTCAAAGAGGGCTCCTGAAGAAGGACCTCTTCTCCCCATCTTAGGAGGTGGACAGGTATATATGGAAGGAGATGCTCCTTCAAATATCCAGGTCCTAAACCATTTGGAGCCATATAAGTCATCATCAGCACCTTAAATCGGGCCTGAATTTCAGTTGGGAGCCAGTGTAGATGGTAAAAGGCAGGCATTATATGTGCATATCTGTTCTGGACCAGCCAGTAACTCTGCCTTGGAAGAAGCATTTCAGCCTTATAGAATAGAAGGAAGCTGCACAAATGCAGGGGGAAATGGATGACCCGGCGCTGAGGGAGGGAGCCCGGGAAGAGCTTGAGTGCCCAGGAGGGCCAGAGGTTCTGCACCTTTGCTCTAAGGCAGCCTTCTCCAATCAGGTGCCTTCCCAATGTGTTGGACCTCAACTCACATCAGCCCCATCACTGTACCAATATGAATGATGGGGTTTGCAGTCCAGAACATCTGGAAGGCACCCAACTGGGAAAGGTTGCTAGGAAGCTATGGGAAGGATTTGGCCTTCTTATTTTCCTGCTCCTCTTAAATGGCCAAATTGCAGTGGTGTAGCTGACCTGGCCCATAAAGGAGAATCAGAAACCTGCCTCTCTGTCCAGGTAGAAAAAGGCCCTTGAGCCACAGCAGTGCTTGCTCAGGAGTGTCCTCAGGGGTTTTTCTTGCTGAGATAAAATAATGGCCACCGCAAGAACTCAGGAAGTAGTTATTATTTATTATTATTTAACTAAATAAGAGTTATTTTTGGTGACTCTCAAGAAGTTGGTGTCCTCTTGAATCTTGCTCTCTGGCTCTCATAGCTGGAGCTGTGAAGGGGCTACTTTGGGGATGGGTGCCAAGGCGGGCAAGATTTGCCCCCCTTTCCAAATGATGACCGCCTGGATAGGAGACAGAAGCCACACTCGGGGTGCTTTCAGACAGCCATTCCTGGGATGTTACTGTGTTAGTGCCATTCTCCATCCAGACAATATCCTCGCCCACGTTTTCCTACTGCCTCCCCCTCCACCAATCTTTTCCTTGCTCCAGAAATGACCCGGCTGACTCAACCTGGCAACTAGCCATGTCCCGTTGCTGGGTTGCCCAGATCCTGACGGCTTCCTGCAACAAGCCACCCTGCCACCCACGGCTTGTTCAAGGGCTTGCGGAGCCTACGCAGGGCTGGAGCTTGTCTCAGCCATCATGGGTTGTGGGTTGCAGCTCTTGGCAATCTTGGCTGGAGAGAGTGACATGGGTGGGGGAACGGGGCTCCGGAGGGGGAAAAAGTGAACGAAATGGGGTCTCAGTCAGCTGTGCAGAACCCAGAATACCACCTGGGGGTCCAGCAGGGAAGAAGGGGGAGAACGCTGGTGAGCCCACAAATCATTGCGGTTCACAGCTTATTCCCAAGGTGGGTTGCCGCAAAGTGCCAACTTTCCAGGAAAGACAACATAGCAGAAAAGACAGTAGCAGAAGCACCCCCATGTCATACCTGGGGTGGCCTTGCTTCCATTTTTATACTTGTGCAGTTCCTTTTTACCAGCATCAGTGAGGAGAGGGAGTCGGGAGCGCCTGTATGAATTGCTCAGCTGCATCTCGTGCCATTTGCTTTACGATGGGAGAAGATGCGACTCTCCCCTCAGAGCTTTAATCTTGCCTTCCCCAACCTCAAGCCTTGCATATGTGTTAGACTTCTACTCCCACAATTCCCTGCCGGCTAGGAATACTGGGAGTTGTAGTCCAACATACCTGGAGGGCCCCAAACTGGGGGAAGTAGCTTTGTTTTACTCTCTGCATTCATGGGGACTTACTGGGGACTGCTTCCTTAAAGCAGGTGAAACGATTGCTCTGTATACCACTGAATTCCTAACTTCTGAGACTGGCCGCTACTCCAGAGGTTTCAAACGTGGAGGTCGTCCATCATAGCTCCTCTTCGTTCCTTTCCAACAGAAGATAGTCAAAATTGCGGCTGGGCCCTGGTGTGTGTGCTCTGGTGTGTCTCCCCACTGCATGCTTACTCAGAAGAAAGTCCAGCGGAGTTCACTATGGGTTGCTTGGGCTGCAATCCTAAGCCACTTGCCTGGGAGTAAGAGCCATTGAACATGGAGTAGCATGGTTAATTTACCAATTAAATGGATTTAAAGTTCTTGTTGTATTAATAAGCTGGGCGACTTTTGCTAGCAGATGTATACTGTGCAGAGAGATAAGTACCAATATTGCAATACTATTCTAAATTATTATGACTAATAATTGCATATTAATGTTATAATGTTATTAAATTTGATAATGTTATAATAACATTTTTGAGAAAATTCTAAATGGTATGCATTTGTACCATCAATTTACTTCCCAAACTATCTTTACTCTTTTGGACGTTGCTTTTAGCTTGTGTCTTTAACTTGTGTCAGAATCTTCTTCTGAAGGGAAAGGATCACTGGCAGCCCAAAATGGCAGACGTTTCTTATTTATTTCACTCTTATGCTGCTGGCCTATAACTCTGGGGAACCCAGGGCAGCTCAGTTTGTCCTCCTTCCTCCACTTCACCGCTTCCTCCTAACACCCCTGTGAAGTAGGTTAGTCTGAGAATCAGTGAATGCCCAAAGTCAGCCTGGGAGCTTCCCAGCTGAGTGGGAACTTAAGGCTGGATTTCCCAAGTCCCAGCCTGGCACTCTAGAATCTACTCCCTTCTTTTGGCTATGGGCCAAGACTCGGAGAACTAGCGGGGTGAGACAAGCTCTCGTTCATTGTTAAATTTGTATACCACACTAATCGTCCCCCAGAGGACTCTTCACAGTTTCTCTCTTGCTTCTCTCCTGCTAGCTGCACGCCCCATCACTGCAATTCCCTGCAGGTGCTTTTCTCTTGGAGGGGAGAAATACGAGGCTCCCTATTTGTTCTTCCCCAGGGAGTAAGTCAGTTGGTGGACACGTGCGTGAGTGGTGCTTGGAGCGAACCGAGAGCTGGGTGGGAAAGTGCTCAGGCTCAAAACACCCTCTGAAGAGTGCCTGGAGCCCTAAGAGCGCTCCACTGTCTCAGAAGGCTCAGCCCAGCCTCATTCGCTGCCCCGAATCCCTCCCAGGACACTTGCGTGATGCCACTTTTGTTAATTTATTCAAATCCTCCCTCAAAAACAAGCTGCTCTGGTGGCTAGTTCCCATGTCCTGTTCTGTGTAGCCTGTCCGCTAGCTGACACAGCCCTTTATTGTTTCCTTATTTAACCCTGCCTCCACTTCCGCTGTAGTTTCCCCTCCGCTGACTTTTACACTGTAAGCTCCTTGGGGCAGAGACCTGAACCGGGCTGAGCAGGACAGGACATTCTGGAGGACATTAATTCAGAGTGTTGCAAGTCAGAGAAGGCTTGATGGCAAGTCATAGCAGCAACACCCACCGAAAACTCTTTTACGGGGGAAATGGGGGTGGTGGAGAGAGGAATCTCTGAACTACACGTGTCGGAATTGTGAGAACTGCACATGGCTAATAGTTGTAAATAGCCTACTGATTTCTGCAGGAATTGGTTGTGGCTCTGCCTGGTGACTTGGACCCAGTGGGCTGGCCAAACATTATAACATGGATCGGTCGGGTCAGTTCCAGATGTTTGAGGCTCCAGGGCATTTCCCCCATTTTAAAAAATGTGTTTGGCACGAGCTTCTCTTCAGGGTTACACTGAGTCACCTGCTGTCCATGGCAGCATCAGGTGTGTGGCTGCCAAGCCGCAGGTGTTCTGCAACATGAGGACATCTTGGGAAAGGTCTGTGTGAAGGTTTTGGGGGGAAATTTGGACCCCCCCCCCCCAAGTCAGGAGAAAGCAGCATTGTTTTTCTCAGGGATTTAGAAAAGCGAATCTGGGAGAAAGAAATATCTTGTGCTTTCTCCCCCATTTTTCCATCCCCACACCACCAGACTTTCGCCTCCCTAAGTGTTGGCCAGGTCGATTTCCTGGGAAGTCCCTTCTTCTCCCTCATCCATTGCGCATGGATGAGAAATGGAGCTGGGGGTCAGACTAGATGGCCCAAGAGACCCCTTCTGACTTGCTCTGTTTCTGTGTTTCTATGAAACATTTCTACGTTTCTACATTTCACGCAAGAGCCAGTGTGGTATAGTGGTTAAGAGCATGGGACCAGGACTCAGATGATCTGGGTTCGAGTCCCCACTCAGTCATGGAGCCAACTGGGCGACTTTGGGCCAATCACAGACTCTCAGCCCAACTTACTTACTTACTTACTTACTTACTTACTTACTTACTTATTTATTTAAAGGTTTTCCTACGCCGTCGCCTTGCTATATGACCTTGGGACGGCTCACACAAATAAATAAATATAATACAAATACAGATAAAACCCGGAAACACCCTGGCTGCACAATTAAAACCTATATTATACATTGTTAAAATATTGTTTGCATAAAACGGTCTTAGCCTGGCGCCGAGAAACAAGTAACGACGGCACCAGGCGGACCTCTCTGGGGAGCGCATTCCACCGATGGGGTGTCAGCCTACCTCACAGGGTTGTTGTTGTGGGGATAAGATGGAGGAGGAGAATGATGTAAGCTGCCTTGAGCCCTTTGTGGGGAAAAGGCAGGATATAAATCCAAAAATAAATGAATAAATGCCTTGAAAATAGTTCTCTTCCATGCTATGCACCGGGGCTTTTCTGGGGCTGCATTTGACAGCCAATGACAGAGTGGCAGATAGAGAAGTTAGGCTAACTGTGGAGACAGACGATAAATGAAGACTCGTTTCAGGTCGAGGCCTTGCACTTCACAGGTTGCCTTTTACCTGGCCAGCCCATTGGCCCATTCATCAAAGTGGCTGGAAGAGGCTCGGCACGGATTCTGCACTGTGAATTCTGCACTGCGATTTTTCGTTTGCTAGCTCAGATAAGCCTTTGTCTGGACGTACCCTCAGGCCGGCAGGCTCTCTGCCCCAAACACGAATTCTTCCCTGCAGTTTGGTGGTGCAATTGTTAAAGTCGGAAGATAATGAGGAAGATGCTGACGCTCTCTTTTTCCTTTGCAGATTGTTAACTATTTTGAGAAAGTAAAAATCAGAATAACACTGGTAACCAAGAATGAACCGTACAGGCCTCACCCACACCGGCTGGTTGGAAAAGACTGTGAAAACGGTTACCATGAAGCCGAATTTGGACCGGAACGCAGAATTCTGACGTAAGTAGATGCCATTTTCTGTGCATTCTTCAACTCTGCGTCCAACTTTCCTTCTGTACTCTTAACTATCAGACAAACATGCCAACAAACAGGACCTTACTGTCTTGTGCAGCTGTGCCTGTTTGATGCTTCTGAGCTACTAAGGCACCTCACCAGACTGAAACGAGAGGCGGTTACACTGCTCTCCAAAAATTCTTCCCCAGACTGCACCCTCTGGAAGGGCCACCCTACAGCTCCCATCTTCCCCAGACAGTGGCTATGCTAGCTAGAAAGGTGGGAGTCCAGCAACATCTGATGGACCTTTGGATTCTGTTTCTAGTCTGGGGTTTCTGCCATGCAGGAAAGGGCACAGTCAACATGTGGAAAGGGGAAGAGCAAGATGATAGCCTTGCCCCTGACCTGTGGGTATCTCCCAGGCGGTATCGGATTTTAGACTGCATGCTCTTCAGGGCAGGAATCTGTGTCTTATGCTTCGGAAGGCATGATTCACACTGGTGGTTCTATATTAAAAATAAATATAAACAAAATACATGTGTGGCCCATTATTGCATTGAGTTTCCTGATCACAGCTCTGGACCGTCATCCCAACATCGAACGCTTGTGATGGCATTGTCTTTAGATGCAGAGAAAGCCTTCCAGAGGGTCAGCAGATTACATTTGCATTTCGTTGTAGAAAATGGTGCCTTCTTTATTCAGTGGATTTTTAAATTTAAAATGTGTCGTGTTATGATGAATGGACTTAAATCTCAACTGCTTTTGCTTCTTGCGGGATGCTGAGCCTCCCTTTTCTCCACCTGCTCCTCATTCAATGTTTTCCTGCCACTTTTGAATCACTGAAATGCCTCTCCGAAAACTTATTGTAAGTAAGAACTTGAAGCTAAAATGTGCAGATATTTTGTCCACCCACCCTTTTTCTGACCCTGAAATGGTGTCTCCATTTCCCACCTCAAAATTGAATGTGACTCTTTTATGGTGCAGGGGAGTGAGATAGACTCACTCCCTTTTCTTTTGTAATTTAGCTTGGAATAGTTGGCATGTGCTATTGGGCAGCTTAAAATATCCCAAGGTTTAGGATAGAGACAGGAATGCAAAATTATCTGGTACACCTTTGATGCATTGCTCACCCTCTCTCATCCAGCGGAAACAGTATCCAGTCTTTTCAAACTCATCCATCTTTTTGGCACATTATCTGGTTACAAGATGAATTGTTTGAAGCCGCAGGATTTAAACACAGCAAAATGAGATTTTGACAAATGGCCCTTTCAGTGCCAGGCAGATTATTTAACATATTTATAGATGCTGGCTGCAAAAAATAATGTATTTTGAAAACCAGTTCTGATTTTTAAAGAATTACTATTTATATCAGTGGATCTGGACCTATTTCCATGAGACTGAATTTGCCACCAAATTAAAAATTGCACCCTTCTTAAAATTGTATTTCATTAGTAAGCAGAATGCCAACCCAGTGGTTAATATAGGTTCCATTTAGATGGAATAGGTTCCATTCCAGGTTCCATTTAGATGCCAGGAAGCACTTCCTGACAGTCAGGACCCCGAGGGTGTGGAATGGGCTTCCACGGGAGGTCGTTGAGGCCCCATCGGTGCGGGTGTTCAAAGACAGGCTGGACGCGCACATGGCAAGCATGTCATGAGTGGAGCTGGCTGGAGCTGGGGTCAGACTAGGTGGCCCAGGAGACCCCTTCTGACTCGCTCTGTTTCTGTGTTTCTATGTTTAAAGTAGGGAAAACCTTCTCACACGGGCCTCCTTGGGTAGATCTAAAAATTACATCCAAGAGTGAGTATAATCCTATGTATGTGTGAACAGGAAAAGGTCAGCAGTGCTGACTGGAGCATGCTGGGAGTTGGAGGGGTTTCTGTGTGAACATGCATAAGATTCTACCTAAGGGTGCCAAAATGGGTTTTCTTAGTTAAGATGCTGCTGGCAAACTCATACCTCCCTGGTCATCCAGCGTTTATCTAGGAGCCTTTTTGCTTTCTTCTTGGCTGGGACTTTTAATTGTATTTTAAAGGTATTTTAAATTTTAAAACTAGTAAAATGCTGCTGTATGTGCTGTATTTTAAAGTTTTAATGTCCTGTTGAGAACTGCCTAGAGAGCTTTGGCTATTAGTAGTATAGAAAGGAAGGAAGGATGGAAAGAAGGAAGGAATGAAACAGACACAAGGCCAAGAGGGTGAAGAAAGTAGCATCATTTGATCGGCAAATTAAAGATCTGCCTCTTTTTGTGTTAATGTAGAAAACTGTAAAAAGAGCCTGCTGGATCAACCCAAGGACCCCTCTAGTCCACCTTTCTGTTCACCCATAAGTGAAGCAGCTGCACATGGAAATCCCAAATGTAACAGCACCCCCCCGCCCATGTTCCCCAGCATGGGCATCCTGCCTCTGATGTCGGAGGTGGAATAGAGCCATCAGGACTAGTAGACTTGACAGCCCTTTCTAGGAATTTGTCCAGTTCCCTTTTAAAGCCATCCAAATGGCTTTACATCACATGGAAGTAAATTTCATAGTTTAACCTTGTGAGGTGTAAAAAAGTCTTTCCTTTTCTCTCACCCTCTCCCAAATCAGCTTTGTGGCTTGGCGCCAGTTTCCAGTATTAAGAGCGAGAGAGAAAACCTTCTCCAGGTCCGCCTTCTCCACACCACGCATAATTCTGTACTTCTGTCGTGCCTTTCCTTAGTCATGTTTTTCCTAAGCTAAACGGTCTCAGTCGTGACATTTTCTCGGGGGCCTTGCTCCAGCCACTTATGATCATTATGAGTTACCCTTTTCTGTGCTTTTTCCAACTGGACAATATCCCTTTCTAGGTGAAGTGATCAGAACTGTGCACAGTGTGATTCCACCACAGATTTTTGTAAGAGCAATATGATCTTGGTTGTTTTCAGTTCCTTTACTCATTACACCTAACATACAATTTGTCCTTTTCACAACATCTGCACATTGAATTGACATTTCCATCAAGCTGTCCACCACATGCTAAGTTCTCTTTCTTGGTCAGTCGCCACTAGCTCAGATCCCATCAGTTGGAATTTTCTGCCCTAAAGTACATCATTTCACACCTGCTGATATTGAACAGCGTTTGCCATTTTGATGTCCGTATATAGATGTAAGAGTCTGCATCACCGTACTATAAATGCAGCCTGTAAACTTTGGAAGAATGGAATAGATAATTTCTCAATCCCCTAGTTCAGGGTTGGAGAGCATCAGGCCTGGGTTCAATTCTTTCAAGTTCCCCCTTTCCTTGGCCATGGCTTGTGGTGTATATGCAGTTTTTTCCCATTCCGAAAGGCTGAGATGTCTCTCCTAAGACCTAATAATTAGCCATAAGAACTTGAACTTTTGATGTTTGAGCCCCATCTGTTTGCATCTGGCTCTTCCACCAACTGGAGTGCAGCCCTCAAAAGTGTATCTGAAACAGAATTTGGTCCCTGGACCTCAGAGCTTCAACAGCCTCAATTGGGCTGATCATGATGGCACATGCTAAACTGTTCCCCATGTTGCCAGTGGCTGCTAAGGCATGTGCCCCTATCAAAATGTGCAATGATTGAATGGGGAGGATTTGTACGTGGGTTGTATAACAGGTAGGTAACTTACCTGTATAACAGGTTATCTCAACAGGTAAGCCTGTATCTGCAAAGGGCTTTGCCCATTGATCCTGGGCCCGCAGCCATCCAGAACTGGGCAACCTCAGGGTTTGAAAGGGGTAACATGCTTATTATTTTTATTTTTTCCAAATATGTTGCCTGGTTTGTGATACGATCTGTTTTTCCTACTCAGACTTCTTTGTGCCACTAATCCTTCCAAGCTTAATGTGAAATCAGATGTTGGACAGAATTTAGGGGGTGTCAGAAGGTCAGTTATTGTACAAGGGGGCACTCTTGAGTTTTCTTCTTGCAGCCAAAGCGTTTGCAGACCTGAGGGGGTGACATCACTGACACATGCTTTGCTCCATAGTCTGCCTTGGTGTTCAGGTGAGATTGGCTAAGGCAGGGCCTTTTTAAGATTGGCCCTTTCATTCTTTAGTAAGAATTCTGTAACCGGACAGGCTTCCCTAGCTGATTCTTCCTTTGTATTTCTGGAACCAGCTGAAAGTGTGTGCACACCTGCGTGTGTGCGTGTGCGCACGCGCGACTTCTAGGTGTCTGTCATTTCGTTGACTTTAAGAGCTGCCATAATAGTGTTTGTTATAACTTGGTTATATTTATAAAACAGCTAAGTTGCTGGGTGTTTACCGATTTTCATTATGATTTTTAGGGGTTTTCAAAAGATTGTGTTCAAGTGTAATTTTAGTGTGGCTTTATACTGTATTTCCCTTTAATGCTAGAAATAAAATAGCTTAGGTATTTCAATGCTAGAAATAAAATAGCTTAGATATTTCAATGCTAGAAATAAAATAGCTTAGATATTTCAATGCTAGAAATAAAATAGTTTAGATATTTCCAGATCAAGGTCAATATAACTCTTGGCCCATTTATTTTGACTGTTTAACAACTGAGGTTTACAGTTAATTCCTAAGAATTACTCTTAAAAAACTTTTTACAAGGTTAAAAAGAATCAATTTCGGAAGCACATTTTTTAAATATCATTATGCTCACAGTATGCAAAAAAGCCTCAAACTTCTGGTCCAGGGTTACTTTCCAGGGATCTTCTTAAAAGAATTAAAAAATCCAGTAAGACTTATTGCAAAGGGCAAGTTCGTCAAATTGGGGGTATGTTGGTACACATGTCTGAAGCATGTTCCAACCTCAGATATCCTCAAGAAGCAGTTTGTTTGTTTATTTATTTATTAAAACATTTCTATGCCGCCCCATTCGCCAAAGCCTCGGGGCGGCTCACAACATAAAATATAATACATAAAACAAATTAACAATATAAAATAAGTCACCCTGGCCAGATAAAATAAGCAAATAATATTAACAATTAAAATGACGTTTAAATAAGTTGCTGGAATTATACTGTAAGTTCGCCCCCAAGCACGTCTGTT